AGAGGAAAGAAGCCATGTCCTTCACTCGTGTCACTTCCTCCTTCGGGATAAGAGCGCACAGTGCAGCAGCAAACGCTGCCACCCCGCGTTTAGGTCAAGCGGTGCCTCAGACTGTTAACGTCTCCTATCTTCAGGGCACCGTTAGAGGAAGTATTTCGAGATCTACTTTTGTTGTTGCTGTGTTATACACACCCAAGGGCATTTTCTCCATTGCTTTTCAGAGACAGAGTGGAAAGGGAGAGGGACAGGGGAAGAGAGAGAGAGAAAGAGAGAGAGAGAGAGAGAGAGAGAGAGAGAGAGAGAGAGAGAGAGAGAGAGAGAGAGAGAGAGAGAAAGAGAGAGAAAGGGAGGAAGGAAGGGAGGGGAGGAGGGAGGGAAGGAAGGAAGGGAGGAAGGGAGAGGAGGAGGGAGGGAAGGAAGGAAGAGTGTCCCTGAGCAAACACAGCTGGAGGAGTCGAGGAGGCGGGAGGGCTCCCTCTGGGCTGGGCCCTGGGAAGCTGAATTAGTGGGGAACCCGGCGGGCAGTGTGCTGGCCCCGGAGGCCGCCAGCACAGTGCCGGCGAAGCTCTCGGACCCGAGGTCGGACCCGTGTCGGGGACATGTTTCGCCAACTCGGGCCGGTTTCCTCTCGGAGAGGCCACCGCACCTGCCGGGCCGGAGGGAGAGCCGGACTCATTCTCACGGCCGAGAAGGGACTTAGTCTGGGAACCTTTCCACGCAGAGCACTGACTTCCATTAACCAAGACACGCCCACCTGGGGCGCTGAAGATGCCCAAGTCCACAGCCCAACTCACAGCTATTCTCGCAGAACAGGGGTTGCGGCACCTGCAGGGGTCCTCCCCCAGGGAACCAGGGAACCAGGCCCCCAGGGAACCAGGCCCCCAGGGAACCAGGTAACCAGGCCCTGGGCCCCAGCACCGGCTCCTCGAGTCACTCACGGGAGCCGCTGCCCCAAAGCTTCTCCAAACTACTTCCCCCAAGAGGCCAAGAGGGCAGAGAAGGGAGCACAGTGACGTTTAAGTCCCCACCGAGGATACGTTTTCATTGATTTTTTAGGGAGGAAGGAGCATCAGTCGGTTGCCCCCCAGCTGCACCCTGACCAGGGATCAAACCGCAACCTAGCTATGTGCCCAACTGTCGGAAACCGAACCCGCAACCGTTTGGCTGTACTGGACGACGCTCCTCCCCAGCCCCGGCCAGAGCAAACCGGTTCTCAAAGCAGCAGCCGTGGCGCCCGGGGAGGGCGCTGGGCAGCTCTGGCAGCTCACCCTCAGCCCAGCCCTCCTCCCAGTCACCTTGGAAGCCAGGACACAGGCCCAGGAGGTTCTCACCCAGATGGTTCGCAAACTGGCATGAGGAAAAGCAGCTGGGCACTAGAATACCCCTCCCATTTCTCCCGGGGGCGGGGTGGGGGGCAGCCTCCTGCGGCAGCTGCCTCAGGCAGATCCTGGCAAATGGAGACCAGACCCGTTCCCTAACGATCCCTCTGCGCCACCCTTGTTCCTCGATGTCTGACTTCTGCTCAGAGAGGACCAGGAGGCCAGGAGGGAGGGGCGGCAGCCTCGCCACTCCCCACACCCCCCTCCCCATACCCCACTCCCCACACCCCACTC